GGAACGAAACCGGCGGAGTCACAGATAAACAAAAAGACAAAAAAAATAATATTATAAAAACAGAGCTCCAAACTCTCGCTTTCCGACGGGGTGGTTTATATGCCGTCCTCTATGCTCGATGGCCTATAAGCATATAGCATATGCTACCCCAGAGACCGACGAATGCAGAATGCTGGCGTTTGTCTAGCCGCCTAACCGATAAATATGAAATTCAATTCAATTTAAGCGGCAAAGAAAATTATTTAATTATTCGCTGGTTTTGTTTTCGGTCGGCGTTTCGTTTCGTTTAGTTCTGTTTTGGTTTCGTTTGTGTTTTGCTTGTGTTTTTTATGTGCAAGGCGGTGATCGAGGCGGTGCAGCGCTGTCCCAATCGACGTCGCCGAAGACCCAGCAGAATCCGCCGAACTCCAAGTCACATCGATCGCACAGTGGTCAAGAAACAGGGTCAAGATTGGTTTACATGTGGGTAAGCCCTACTTAAAGCAGGACTTTACGAAAATAAATTTATGAAATAGTGCTAACCATTTAAAAAATATATTTTAAAAATAATAATAAGAGGTTTTTTATATATGATAATTCGGTTCTTAAAACTTCTAAGAACGAATGAAAATGTTTTCGAACAACTACTAATCTACAAACCTCAATTTAATTTTATAAATGTCTTAAGAAATTCACAAGGTTTTTGGAAGAAATAAAATCTTTTTTATATAGCGTTAAGCCCTTGAAGTTTCGAATGTTTTCTTTCATTTTATTTGTTTTCATCTTCTTAACCTTTATCAAAAAGTATATTTACATTACATATAGTTAGGTAAAAGGTTACAAAATCTTGCAAAAATTGTTGAACTTTTAATAAGAACATTATTGGCTTGAAGACAAACTTGAAATCTATCTTTACATAAAGATCATCTTCTTAATAGAATTTAAAACCTTAAGACTTGGCTCCACTGTACCGCCTGCCAGCTGTTGCCGGCATGACTTCGGGTTCGGATTCGGATTGGGGGTTCGGATTCGGTTTCGGCGCTCGCTGCCACCGATTGAAATTGAGTCACCCCACGAGGAGTGCACTTCAAACGATCGACGACAGCCCCATCCCAATCGCATGGCCCGGCGATGACACTTGGGTGGGTGAGTGTGTGGCGTTGGTCATGGTTGTAATTGTCCGCTCATCACTTCCACTCCCACTCCCCCTCCGCCAGCGGGAACCACTCCCACTCCCTCTTCCACTGAAGCTAGCACCACGCCCCAAAACGGAAGCCAGCCACAACAAAACGGCGAACACACCACAAACAAACGCCGGCCACTGTCTCCACTCCATGTCTCCAAAGCTCCATTGCTACATTGCTCCATTGCTCCAATGCCTCAATGCTACCGTGTCCCAATCGAACTGCACGCATGCGCAGCCGCCCAAAAACCCAATGAACTGTAAACAAGCAACAAACAACGGCAATAACTAAAAAAAGCGAACATTCCCTTCTACGGGTCAAATTTAAACGGCAAACAGCAGTTAACCCAACTCCACTGCTAACTTCCTGCTCCAAAAATATCATTCGAACGTGCCAATACCCTTACTAATTTATTATTTCTTTAATTTGGAAAAATGACTTCTTAAATCAACTGTTTTTCTTTGGAACATAATAATAAGATGTTATACATCATCTTCCAATGTTTTCATAAAGATGTTAAAATATAAAACTCTATTATGAATAAAGGCTAAACAGGTTTACTATAAATTACAGCGACTATCTAAGCTATTTATAACAAGAAAGGAAAGCTAACTTCGGGCGGAGCCGAAGTTGATATACCCTTGCAGAATATTCTATAAATTATATTCTCCAAAATTATTCATATGATGCATTCTTAATACTCATAAAAAGTCCCAACTTCCTAACTTTAAAAACACCAAAGTTATGTCATTTCCAATCGTTCAGTTATATGGCAGCAATAAGATATAGTCGGCCGATCCTTATGAAATTTGGTAGGTCGGATTGATTGGCCAAAAATAAGACCCATAGAAAATCCCAACTTCCTAACTTTAAAAACACCAAAGTTATGGCATTTCCGATCGTTCAGTTATATGGCAGCTATATGATATAGTGGCCCGATCCGGCTCGTTCCGACTTATATACTACCTGCAATAGAAAGACAACTTTTGGGAAAGTTTCAAGCAGATAGCTTTAAAACTGAGGGACTAGTTTGCGTAGAAACGGACGGACAGACGGACAGACGGACGGACAGACGGACAGTCGGACATGGCTATATCAACTCAGGAGGTGATCCTGATCAAGAATATATATACTTTATAGGGTCGGAAATGTCTCCTTCACTGCGTTGCAAACTTTTGACTGAAATTATAATACCCTCTGCAAGGGTATAAAAATATGTGTATTGGGGAAAGCTAGCTCTTTTGTAAATTAGATATACCCTAAGGAAGATGATTTAAAATGCCAACTGAAAACTTGTCAATGCCTTGAAGACGGCGACGAAGTTCAATGATGACGATTACTACGAGACTGCGAGGGTGCCGATGATAATGATAATACTTGCTGATGGCAGTGTCGTCATCTGCCGCACCCCCGCCAAAAACGAAAGACGACCAGACCAGACGGGACTCGGACTGGGACTCGGACTTGGACTTGGAGTTGCTATTGTGGCACAGCCACTATTCGTTCCCCGTTTGGCCAATAAATTATGCTTCATTTGGAATTGGGTTAAACTGCGAGCGAGAGGCGAGGGGAATTAGCGGATTAGTGGGGAGTGCGGGGGCTTGGAGTGCCATATTTATGGGGCAGCTGCTACGGCTTTAGGGCGTTGCCCTGTCCCGGACGGGGGGCGTGGCTGCTCCCGAAGTTGGAATGTCCCATCAAGCAGTAAACCGAAGATCGCTCAATACACTCTTTTCTGCTATAAAAAAAACCCTCACTATCCACATTCTGCCCACTTCTATCGCATGCAGTTATTTTTATATTTTCAGGTAATATTTAGAATGAAAAAAAAAGCATTTAGCCAACTGGTGAAATATGTAGATATCTTGGAGCACTTATTTGCTGACTCTTAGTCGGCTTTTGAATTTATCATTGAGGCGCAACACCCCCGGAATGAGGAAGGGGCAGGCGGTGGGGTTACCTCATCCGAGCGAATGGAATGACTAACGGCCAAGTGCAGATTGTCTGGGGCTGCGGATTCTGATCTAAGCCTCCCCGATGCGGAGTTGTGCAATCCAAGTGGTTCTGGCCGACGTCGTATGTATTTCCCCAATGCGATTGGTTTCAATGCTGGTGTAAATACTTTTCTAAACAAGCCCGTTAACTGGCATTCTTTACGATGCAATATATACCAAAGGGGAGGGGGAGGGGGAGGGGAAAAAACATTTTTCAACTCAAAAACGCTCTTTAAAATGCCATTAATCATATATCATATTTTTATCAAGACATAACTTTGTTGCTATGCGTTCTTGAGACTATACCAATGTATGTGTAAACCCATTAAATCTACATTTTAAAATGTTATGTTTTTGATCTATTGCTCCATTTATCTGCATTTAACATTTTTCTACGTAATAGGTAATTCGTTGTTCACTTTATTGCCATTTTCAAATCTATTAACAAAAAGGTAAGAACTATTGTATATCCAGTTTACTACTAAATGAGCTGAGATGGGGAAGATTAAACCATTTATCTTACAATTTTATTTAGATATGTCATGACATTAAAGGGTTTGTTAAGAAGTTGACCTTATTTTGCTGGCCTATAATTTAACTACTTGCAAAAGGATCTATTCCCTCAAAATTCCGCAGAGGAATTCTTTATTAGCATTATCTACAAGGACGTCATGTACCTGATTATGTCAATATTGTACCTGATATTTCCTCGCAAAGCAGCTAAAACTCCCACGGCTCATTTTCTGACTGTTGCGGGGGGGCCAATGAAGCGCGACAATTTGGCTAATTGAAATGCAATTAAATGGCTCAATCGGAATCAGAATCGGAATTGTTGGTGGCCGCTGCAGAGTAATCGACAATTTGAGAGGTTGAGAGCTTGAGAGGCGCCGCCGACTTAATCTGTCGGCGTCATTTTCCATTTTGCTGCCGCCGAGATTGGGATTAAGATTAAGGTCAGCACTGCATGTGGATGCCGGACGATTGGCGGGCTGCAGTTCCTCAATTTTTGTGGTCGGCGCGGAGCGATAAATGTATTTTTGAAGAAACACGGTCAATTAGACAATAAGCAATGAGATTAGAAGCCAAGACGAAGTGCTAGCCTTGCCGTGAGTAGGTGGTTAGTCCGTTTGCTTTGTTGGACGTGTTTGGCGTTTTGGAAAATTAGCCAACAACCTTCGACACGGTTTTCAAAAGCAATTAAGCCCACTCGCACACTCATATGCGGAGCACTCAAGCAGGACCGCCGCCAAAATCGATCGAAGCCAACAGCACCAGGTCTAAATCAAAGCCAAAGCCAAAGCCAAAACCCAAGCCAAACCAAAACAAACCTAACCGAACTGAACTGAACTGATCCGAGCCAAGAAAATGACGCAGCAATGCAATTTCAGGCCAGGTGGATTTGGCCTGGCTCTGGGACCTTCGTCAAGTGCAGGTGGAGCTACCGGCTGGAGGCCACGGGTGCGTCACGTGAGCGGGACTATTGCGAGGGGTTCATTAGCACCACGGCAGTTCCGAGGGTTTCCAGCTGTCTGGCAGGTGGAACAAGCCGAGTATTGTGCTTTACACGCACGCAAAACTTAGATTTAAAGGGATGAGAAAGGTCTAAAGATCTTAAATTAATTTTTAAATTTTATAAATATGTAATCCTGGGTAAATGTATTTATACATACATATTTATATTTATATGAAATAGGTATTTCAGTGGACAAGAATGTTTAGAAAGACACCTCGTAATTTTTAAATCTACCAAGGAAAATCATTTATCGAACACTCCCACCCGAGAGGAGTTCGCTTCCCAACATCTCTATCTATTAATTTTAGAAAACCAGGTCAGGACACTCACCTCAGCAAAATGGTCAGTTGTAGGTCATGGCCCAATCTCTCGAGAGCGGGAACACCCTCCACCCGCAGGATATTGATTTTTTCACGAAGCGGTCGGGACATTGTGTGCTGCCCCTGACGCTCTCGCAGGATCTCCAGGATGTTCGGCTGGCGCAGGAAGGCGATGACCTTAAAAACAAGTCAGGGATTCAATTAACAATTAAATGGGAATTTTAAAGGTTTATACAATTTGGGTTTAAAAGGCTTTGTATGCGAACTACTTCTTTAAAAGCCAAATTTTATAAGTAGTTAATTCTTTAAGCTCTAAAATAAATAATAAAGAATTAAGTAAAACCTTAAATAAATAAAATTGAATAATATAAAATGATTTAAAAAAATAATACTCCTTCTATACACTTCAAAATAAAAACCCCGATTAATATCATACATTGTTTTACGATTTAAAACTTAAAACTCTTAAAATGATAAACCCTTTTAATGCATCATAAGAATGAAAATGGTGAAGTTAAAATTCAACACTTAATCGATCTATCTTGGTATCTTGCCATATAATATAGTGGACAAAAAATTACCTTTTCGTTGTAGGCAATGGGCACATCTTCGTACCCGGCTGCAGTGGCTTCCGCTCCTGTCATGCCGGCGGCTCCACCCGCTGCTCCGCGCAAGCTATAGGCACAGGCGATGGCTGCCGCCGTGGTGCAGTTGTGGCCGTGTCCATGGCTACTTCTGGACGAGGACGACGATGAGGGCCTGGGCGGAGGCAAAGGCGGCACGCCGGACACGGAGGATCCCGGACTGGCGTTAATATGCCCACTGGTGGCCGACAGGCAGTTACCATCCACCAGATCCGGATAGTAGTATCCCACGCCCGGCTGCTGCTGCTGCGGATGCTGCTGGCGATGGCGCACCACTCGTGGACACTCCACGGGCAGGCGAGGATCCATGAACGAGGTGCGGCGGTGTTGGTGGTCAATAAAGAACTGCTTGCCGGACTGGTCCAGCTTGGTCTCCCAGCAGGAGGGCAGTTCCCTGCCCATCTGGGCGAAGGTGTTAACTAACGCCACCAAATCCTTGTTGTACTGGTATCGCTGGAAGCACTGCGGATCGCGTCGGATGCGCATTACCATGTGCTTGAGGGCGGCATTCCGGTTGTAGATGGCTAGCGCAGCCTCGTTGGTGTGCAGCAGGGAATAGAAATCCGGGCGGCAGAGCATCAGGATGGCGGGATGGATAGCCGAAGCGGGGGGAGGAACAGCCGGAGCAGCGGCATTGGCACTGCTATTCGCAGAAGGTGGCAGATTGTAAAGCTGCGCGGCTCTACTCTCATTGGTAATGGTGCGACGGATGCTCTGATACCGCCTATCCAGCTGCTGGCGATGGTGCTGCTCCCTTCCCGCTGGCCCTCCACTTGGCGCCGCTCCTGGTCGCTGCCAGGAGGTCGTCCGCGTTGTGTGATCGATGTAGAAGATGCGTCCGTGGCTGTCCATGCGTGCCTCCCAAGCGGGTGGCAGTGGTGGCTCTCCCGCGGCTCCGGCTCCGCTCGATCCTGACACCGTGCCCGATCCCGGTTCCATCAGGGCTGCTCCAGCGGCTGCTGCCGCCGCCGCCGCTGCTGCGGCCGCACTGCGTTCTGGAATGGAGGGCAAGCGCGTGCTGCTTATGTGCACCACCTCGTCCGGCGGCTCCTGACCCTGCTCCTGGCTACCATCCTGCAGGAAGATGTAATCCAATTGACTAGAGGCGGCTGGGGGATCCGTTGGGACTCCCACGCCGCTGGCGAGGCTGGAGTTGGCAGTGACAGCTTGGAGGCGGGCATGCCGTCGGGCATGGTGAGTGGGCGTGGGCGGACACACCAATGGCGATCCAGGGGCTCCGCCTGTTGTACTAGCTCCGGCTCCTCCGCCCACGCGTTTGAGCAGCCGCTGCTGAGGTCGCTGGCCATGGAATGTTGGAGTTCCTGGCGGCACCGCATCCATAAGTGCTCCGCCAACGCCTCTGCCTCTGGTGGGCGAGTGCTGCTCGGGACTCAAGCTGAGGTCCAGGGGAGAGGCACTACGCGTGGAGCAGCCCGAAGGGGGGCTTCTTTGCCTTTTTGGTGAGAGCAGGAGACGAGGGGAGGCTTGCTCCTCCGATGAACTTGCCTTGCCATTGGAAAGGGCACGGGTGAGTGGACGGTGCTGCCGCAAATATGGAAATTGGAGACTGTTCGGCGACGAGGACGTGGATCCAACACCCGAGGAGCTGGGGAAGGTGGGGAACTCGTAGCTCTGGTGGACCGGTACCTTCTGTGTGCTGATGGTGTTGATGTAACTGTCCGGACCGATCTTCTTCTTAAGCAGCGGCTTAAAACGCACTGGTGGCGTGGCCAGGGGTGAGTTGTTGGAACTCCCACTGCCCTGGGTCATCTCCTCGGCCAGTCGCTCATCTGTGTCCAGGATGTCAAACTGGAAGACATCGCCTTGGAGCTTAAGGTCCCTTCCTACAGCACGCGGCGGCCAGGAGCGTTCCAGCGGACGATGCTGTGGAGGCGATGGTTGTCTGAGATGATGATGATGATGATGATGTTGTTGCTGCTGCTGCTTCTGTTGCTGCTGCTGACGGCGCTGCACATGAGCACTGGCCTGGAGGGCCGCGGCGGCTCCTAGCAGACTCTCCACGGCAGCCGCCTCCTCGTCCTCCTCCTCCTCGACCTCTTCATCCACTTCAGCCATGCTCAGAGTATCCACCATCTCAGCAGGCACTGTTTCGAAGCATTCTCGTGCTACCCACAGATTAAAGCCGTCTCCGTTTGCATTGGACAGTGTGGTGGCAGGTGCTCCTGCCGCCTTGGTCTTCTTCTTGGCTCCGCTGAGGGGCGTGGAGCCGCCACTTTGAGGCGACAGTGTCCAGGACTTGCGACGGGCTCCGCCGCCCACACTGCTGCCGCCATCACTGCCAATGCTGCCATTGTAGGAATTGGTGGGCGAGAGCGTGGCATTGTTGGCTGGTGTCTCGCAGGATTTGGTGGAGAGCAGTGTCTGGTGGCGGGGTTCCTTGTGTTCCCTTGACTCCTTGCATTCCGGGGGTCTATCGTCTTTGGGCGCTGTAGGTAAGGCATGGAAGTTTAGTGAATAATTTTTCTTGGATAACTCTCTGGATAACTCACATGCCAGTGCGCAAGCCCCCAACTCCAGATGATCCTCCTGGTCGTCCTGGTTTCCAGATGCCAGTGGCTGTTCCTCCACCTCGCTGACACTCACCTGAACATCGTTGGCCAGAGTCAGGGCACTCTGAAAGGCCTGCTCCAGTTCGTCGCTTTCGTTGCCGTTGCGCGCCTCGTAGAAGGCCTCCTCCTCTTTGGGATCATCCTCCTCGTCCTCCTCCTCCTCCTCTTCGTCGTCCCCCGCCTCCGCCTCCTGCGACCTGATTGCAATGGGATCCACTGGGTTCCTGTCCGCCAGGCATGACGAAGATGCTGCCAAGGGCTTTAGAGCCACTGAAGCAGCTGGTGGCTCCATTTCTTCGTTCGCCAACGGAGTTCAAGATGTGCTCTTCCTCTTCTTCCGTTTGGCGTCCCCACCTCTCTTCCTCTTCCACTACTGCCACCCTGCCCCCGCGCCCTGCCCAGGGTTAACAGTTACAGTTACAGCTGCACTTGCTCTACTTTGGCGTTGTGACGTTTGCTGCCTTTGGCACAGCGCATTTCGTGGCCGCCTGCTGCCATTAGTCCTGGTTCTTGGCTTGCTCTACTCACTGCCCGCAAGGCCGGGGCGCTCGCTTTAGTTTATCAATTGTCAATTAAAAAGTTGCTAAAAATATTTCGGGGCAGTCAGTGTGACCGGATGGCAATGTTGTAATTTGCTAGGGAGCACTGCCCGCTAGTGTTGCCACCTTTGGCAGGGACCGACTACCCGTCAACCATCTGGCCACCCTGGCAGTGTACTTTTTACTTTTGTGGCGCTTTTCGGCACATTCGTATTTTTGTTTGGTTTCCGCCGCTTGTGATACCCCCGGATAACCAGCGAGCACCGTAACCCGCATCAGTATGGCCGCTGCAAGTGGAGAACTGTCCAAGAAGTAAGTGCCAACGAAAATATTATCCAGGCCAGGCCAGGCCAACGAAGCAGTCTTTTGAGGTTAAGGCGAAGCGGCAACGTTCAAGTTCTTTTTTTGCGGCTGATGAAATACAGTGCTTAAAATAAAACAATGCTCGCCCGCTGCGCCTTGAGAACAGTGCAGGGGGCGTGGCCCAGATCGAACAGGATTTGGTCACAGGAGGCCATTGGTTTCCACGTGAGCGCCTGTCAACGGGAACCCAGCAAGCGGACCAAACTGTGGGTTACTCATCCGCCTCGTTGGCCAGGCTGTCATAACTGCAAGGACATGCTTTCCGGGGAACATACCCCCTTGAGTTATCACAGCCTAGTGGTGGGATCTGTACAACTCATTACTTACAACTCACCACTTATCCATCCATTCCAGTGAACTGAAGCGCCGCCTGAAGGCGGAACAGAAGGCAAAGGAAAAGGCCGAGAAGGCAGCAGCCGCTGTTCCGGCGGAGGGAGCGGCCGGCAAGAAGAAGAGCAGCGCCGCCGAGGAGGAGGAGATCTCGCCCAACGAGTACTTCAAGCTCCGATCCGCCGCCGTGCAGGAGCTGAAGCGTTCGCCCAACACGCATCCCTATCCACACAAGTTTCATGTGAGCAGTTCGTTGGAGGACTTCATTGCCAAGTACGAGAACAGCTTGAAGGAGGGCGAGACGCTGGAGAATGTTAGCCTGAGCGTGGCCGGTCGTGTCCATGCCATCCGCGAGTCGGGAGCCAAGCTCATCTTCTACGATCTGCGCGGCGAGGGAGTCAAGGTGCAGGTGATGGCCAGCGCCAAGTCCTACAAGTCGGAGGCGGAATTTGAGACGGACACCGCCAAGCTGCGACGCGGCGACATCATCGGCGTCGTTGGACATCCCGGCAAGACCAAGAAGGGTGAGCTGTCCGTGATGCCCACCGAGATTCAGCTGCTGTCGCCTTGCCTGCACATGCTGCCCCATCTGCATTTCGGCCTCAAGGACAAAGAGACGCGCTATCGCCAGCGCTACCTTGATCTCATCCTCAACAACAAAGTGCGCGAGAACTTCCAAATCCGTGCCAAGGTAAGAATCGGCAAAACAAAGTTAAGTCTAAGGATTAAACAATTTATTCTTCCATTTCCTCAGATCATCTCGTACGTTCGCCAGTTCCTGGATCGCCTCGGTTTCCTGGAGATCGAGACGCCCATGATGAACATGATCGCGGGTGGAGCCACTGCCAAGCCCTTCGTGACGCATCACAACGACCTGAAGATGGATTTGTTCATGCGCATCGCTCCGGAGCTGTACCACAAGATGCTGGTGGTAGGTGGCCTCGATCGCGTCTACGAGATTGGACGTCAGTTCCGTAACGAGGGCATCGACCTTACCCACAACCCGGAATTTACCACGTGCGAGTTCTACATGGCGTATGCGGACTACGCCGACATTATGGACATCACCGAGCAGTTGGTATCCGGTATGGTGAAGGCCATCCGTGGATCCTACAAGGTCATCTATCACCCGGATGGTCCAGAGGGACCCGAGCAAGAGCTTGACTTCACGCCGCCCTTCAAGCGCGTCTCCATGATCAAAACGCTGGAGGAGAAGCTGCAGGTCAAGTTCCCTGCGGCTGACACCTTCAACTCGCCGGAAACGAATCAGTTCCTGTCGCAGCTGTGCACCAAGCACCAGGTGGAGTGCCCCGCCCCTCGCACCACCGCCCGCTTGCTGGACAAGCTAGTGGGCGACTTCATCGAGGAGTTCTGCGTGAATCCCACGTTTATCTGCGAGCACCCGCAGATCATGTCCCCGCTGGCCAAGTACCATCGCAGTACTCCCGGTCTGACGGAGCGCTTCGAGCTGTTCGTGGCCAAGAAGGAGATCTGCAACGCCTACACCGAGTTGAACGATCCCGTCGTGCAGCGCGAGCGTTTCGAGCAGCAGGCTAGCGATAAGGCCGCTGGAGATGACGAGGCTCAACTGGTCGACGAAAACTTCTGCACGGCCTTGGAGTACGGACTGCCGCCCACTGGCGGATTCGGTCTGGGCATCGATCGCCTGGCCATGTTCCTCACGGACTCCAATAACATCAAGGTGGGTCTATGGTTTACCCTTCTTTTGAAATCTTTGCTTAATCTTGCTTCTCCTTCAGGAGGTTCTTTTGTTCCCCGCCATGAAACCGGAGGAGGCTAACCGCACGGCAACCGAAACAGCTCCTGCCGCCACTGCCACCCAGCAGTAGAACTCCAACACTCAATCCCATCCTTGTACGTTACGCTGGTCCCGGGCTAGTCCCCAGTTGCTAAGTTATTCAACGAATAAAATGTATCTTTTCCAATATCTGAATCCTTAATTATTTTGTTGGGAAGGAAAATCTGAGGATAGAGACTCTTGAATCGCTTTTTGGAATCGTCTACATCAAAAAGTTTTGTTGTTTAACTTTTCAATCTGCACAATCTGATAAGTTGGATAAGATAATTTAAACTTCACTTTTAGACCACATAACTTCTCCCATTGAATCCGGATTTTTAAGTAAATACCTTAACACGAGCGAATAAGAATATAGTAGAACTAAAACCTATTAAGTTTTTTTTTACATTTTAAAGCATTTTAGAAAAGGTGACCCAAAATAATTTACTAATTATAAGCCAAGTTCACCTCCGAGGATTGAGCCACCGCTATTTCAAGACATTTTTCAATTGATGTGCTGCGGTCACATTGGCAGAAAAGCGGATTCTTCCCAAATGAAAACATCTTTGGAAAATTCAGGAAAATTGTCAATTAATCGGTAATCAAACGATGGGGGACCAACAGCAGCTGATCCTGGCCACTGGGGGCTACGACCACACGATAAAGGTGTGGCAGGCACACACGGGGAACTGCATTAAGACCATGAGATTCGTGGAAACCTCGGTGAGATTAGTGCGATCTGCTATAAATACGCCTTGTATTTAAATATCTGATTATCCAGCAAGTGAATGCGCTGGACAGGACGCCGGACAAGACGCGTCTGGCGGCATGTGGCTACCAGTGCATCCGACTGTACGACCTGGAGTCTAATTGCACCGCCCCGGTGATCAATTTCGACGGGGTCCAAAAGAATGTGACACGTTTGGGCTTCCAGGAGGACGGCAATTGGATGTTCACCGCCGGCGAGGATCACCACGTGAGGATCTGGGACATGATCTCCTCCCCGCCGCACTGCTCCAGAGTTTTCGACTGCGAGGCGCCTGTGAATTCGGCCTGTCTGCATCCCAACCAGGTGGAGATCGCCATGGGCTCACAGAATGGCAGCGTCTTTCTGTGGGACGTCAAGTCGGAGCGTCACGAGAGGATAGTGCCCGAGGTGGATGCCTCCATTCAGGACGTGGCCATATCGCCGGATGGCAGATACTTGGTGGCTGCCAATAACAAGGGCAACTGCTACATCTGGTCGCTAACCAGTCAGGATCAAAAGATGAGCACGCTGAGGCCCACCAAAAAGTTTCATGCGCACAAACGCTACATCCTGAGATGCAAATTTAGTCCGGATTCCAGACTCCTCTTAACGACCTCCGGCGATGGAACGGTGGGCATTTGGAAGACCGATGACTTTACCAAGTGGCGCGAACTGTGCATCGAGAACTATTGGGTCTGGGATGCCGCCTTCAGCGCTGACTCCAAGTGGCTTTTCACCGCCTCCTCCGACGGAATTGCCCGGCTGTGGAAGCTGCAGACGAAGAGTTCAATCAGGGACTACACCGGCCACACCAAGGCCATCACTGCCCTGTCCTTTAAGGACGAGATCGTGGGCAAATAGTAGTAGTAGTAGCTAGCCGCTAGAATCTAGGCAATTTGTAAGCTTTGTGACCAGCGCGTCACTGTCGAGAGTCGTGATAAGTAGATTGTCTCCAAGTGGGCGACCATTTTGCGGATTTCCACGTCGTTTTCCACAAGAAGATTTGCTATTATAAACAGAAAACCTTTTAATACAGAGCATGAATTTAGTTTTGCTTTAAAAAGTAGGTTGAAACTTAAATTCATTTATTCAAGTTAGAAAACAACAGGCCCATATACCCACATAATTAATGGTATGTAAATGAGCCTAGCCTTTTTTATGTTCAGTAAGGATCAGGTATTTCATTTCTACTGCTTATAATCCAGAATTGTCGATTTTCAGTTTGTTCAGTTATCTTACTCAAATGGAAACATTTGTAAACTAAAATTTAGTGAGGACCGCATAGAAACCAATCACTATTACTTAAATAAGTAGACTCAAAACTGTATTTTTCCTATTTGTTGAATCAAACTGCCACCAATGCTCATAAAATCTTTAATAACTTGGCTCTATCGAATTTCGGTTCATATATATTTAAGAACCTTTAAAATCAGAGTGACTCAGACATTCATCCGTAAATGTAATAGATAACCCACAAACGGCCAACCAAGCGAGACAATCGAAAAAAAAGAAAGATTCATTGAGAGGCACTTTGGCTCTGGTAAATATTAATGGCAATTTTTGGAGGCAATTAAATATGGGGATAGTAGTGATGACTCCACATACGCAACACAGCAACCAGAACTGAAGCATCATCCAAACAACATCCACAATTCGACAGAAAAATAAGAATACCTCTGAAAATGAGCGCTTGGCTTTTGTAGCGACTTTTTCATAATTTATAAACCTTTGATACATAATTATATTACGACTAAATCGTGTGTATGCAAAATACAATTTGAATAAAATCTTACGGGCATAAATATACATACAACACAGAAATCAAATACCAAAACTATCTTTTAGATAAAGAAAAGAGAAGGAAAGGAACATAAATCGCGGAAATTGACTGTTTTCGTTTGGTTGTCTTTGTTTTTTGATGCGTTTAAAGTGGACGGGAGCGGGGTAAGCTTCGTCTGGGTATTCTAGTCCACATAGTCGATCCCCTGGGCCACAACCGATTCCTTGATGGGATCTGGGTCGTCGCCCAGCTTGTAGCCCACGATGCAGGTAACATCCACGGCCTTGCCAGTGGGATTAAGTAGGAGCATCACCTGATTAATGGGCGTGGCCGGGCGGAAAGGCTTATGAGGAGGCATCTGACTGTCCGTTGGCGGCAGCAGGCGCACCTTGCAGGGCTAAAAGAAAAAAGGAGATGCTGGTTAGCCCTTCTGATCATACCTATCTCTTCCATTTGACTTGCCCACCTTCTTCACGCTGGCCTCGAACTGAAAGTCGAGCACTGGCTGACGACTCTTGTTCTGGGCAGATATCACAATCACCGACACACGATGGCCGGGCCGATCGCTGGTGAAATTCAGACTGAGCTGCATATCGTCATCGTCGAGAACGATGCGCTGCTCCCCGGTGGCCTGGATGTTGTCCAGCTCCACGTGAATCTCGCTAAGCGGCTTTGCCGGGGGAACAATTGCAACCGGGGCCACCACGACTTCTTCCCTTTTTTCCACATCCTCGCTAAGGAGTGAACAATCATCATCTACGGTATCAGCCGGAACAGAAGCTGATGAAGGAGCAGCAGCAGCAAGAGGACCCGTTTCCTCCTCTGGTGACTTCACCTGCATCCTTTCCCGAGCCAAGTCGTTGAGCGTTAGCTTCTCGGGATCGCGTTTGAAGCTGGCCATCCGCTCCTGGGTGGGCAGGATCTGCTGGAAGAGCTCCTCGCTGAGCATATCGATCTGCGGCATTTTTCTGGCCGATCCTGGTACTTTGCTGCAATCGATCCCGTTGCCATTGGGCAATTCCTCGGTGGTGGTGCCTTGGCTCAAGACCTGCGGCTCCAGCAAAGTGGTGGCACTTTGGAATGGTTGGTTCTGCTTGGCTTCACTTTCGGCGAGGGCGCTACTGAAGATGTCACTCAAATCGGCCAGGGGATCTCCACCAGCGGCCGTGGAATTGGAATTATTGGTGGCGGTAGTTGGTATCGTTGCGGCTGTAGCCGCAGCACTTTCGCTGCTTCCACTGATCAGCAAATCTCCAAGCAGCTCGTTTAGCAGCAGAGCATTATTAGAGCTTGTTGCTGTGGCCGAACTGGAAGTGGTCTTGGCAGTGGATGTTGATGTTAAAATATTCGTGGTCAGGGCAGGAGCAGTGCTCTTCGTTGGTGAGGGCACCAGAAGCTTATAGCGCTGCATTGTGGTCAGAAGAGCACCATTGGCGTCCAGAGTGTCGGCTGTAAATCGAATTCAAAGGCGTTAGTATATAAAAATGTATGCAGTCATAGTTCATTGCCTGAGCATAGCTCAACGAATTTATAGGAAAATATGAAAAGTCTTAAATCAACATCACAACAATGGATTATTTTCTGAAGAATTCGGAAAGTTGGTATTGATCTACATGAAAAGCAAATACTGTTTTTAAGAAATGAATGTATCTGGTGTATGAGTCACGAGACCTTAATCAGTTTTGAGCTTAATATATAGTTAGTCAGAAAAGGTCTGTTATGAATCGGATCAAATATATCAATTGCTTATAAGCTGATCCATTTAAATCATAAATATTTTCTACTTTATGAACCTCAAAGATGGGTTATAATAACTAGAGAGCTACACGCACCGACAAGCTGGGCATCGGAGTCGTCTAGCAGCTGCGGCAGATGCTGGAAGATGGGCTTGTGCTTCTTGCAGCTCTTGTAGAGCTCGTGCAGCGTCTCGCTGACGTCCTGGTTGGATGGATCGTAGGTGTCCAGCATCTGGTTCAGTAGCTGCATCGTCTCCTGCACCTCGCTAAGAACCAGGCGGTGCTGGGCCAGCAGATCGTTTCTGCGTGCTTCCTGGGCCATCCTGTACTGCAGCAGTAGGTTGGCCCTCTTGAAGTTTTCCGGATTATTGCTCTTGATCAGCTTGGCGAACATGGCCTCGTCGATGGTGCCCAGAACACTCTCTCTTTTTGCCACCGCCGCCTCTGTAGTGCCGTGCTCAATGTCGCCCTCCTTGCGCAGCATATCGTAGGCATCGCGGATCTTCTGGCGCTGCGGGAATTCCGTGGTCCACAGGAGGAGGCACTCCATGATCCGCTGCTTCACCTCGTGCGGCGTCTCCGCGCCCTTGTACTTTTTTGACACCAAACGGATCAGCTCGTTGAGGAAGCGGAACTTGGCGGCCTCGTCCTGGAAGTCATCACCGCACTGCGTCATGCACTCCTCCAGCAGCTGAAAGAGGTTGATATGTATATCAATATATATTTTATTTATATTTAGTTTAGTAAAATTTGCAAGCAGGGAGGTTCATTTTATAAATGAAGAAAGACAATTTTATAAATAAAGTCGAATAACAATGCAAGTACCTATCAAGTTAACGATCCTGACTTGTAAAAATACCACTATCTGTTGCATATTATTTTAGCTGTTTTTGTACCCAGGTGGCAATACATTTTAGCCACAATTGATAAAAATTGTTATTGTATTACGAATGGAACGCAGCCACACAAGTGCATGTGTTTGTTGGTGTATCTGTGAGCTTTTCGCAAACTTTACGGCCCACTGTGCGTCGGTGTGGCGGCGATGATTGTTTGTGTGTGTAAGAGTTATATTTTTTCACACACACAAGACACCCCTTTTCTGTTAGGCGACTGGACAGCGGGTGTGGGTGGGTGGTAACTCAATTGAATATGCAGCAAAAAGATTAAAAAAAGTCACTAACCGAAATAGCTCGAATCGCCTCCGTCACATTGGAAGATTGCACCTTGCCCACAATCATTTCCTGCGCCTTGTGGACCAACTGGGCGTTACTTTTTACCACAATGCAGAACATTTGCACGCCCAATTCGTCGATTTTCTTTGCCGGATTTGTTGCTCTTTCTGCGAATGGGTAGCGAAAGAGAAAGAAAGCGGTGAGTTCTGAGGATTTCGGTTACCGGAATTTGGGGAATACTTACCCAGCATCTCCTCCATAATACTCTCGTCTGTTGTCATTATGCGTTATTTAAATTATTAACTGGGGGATAAACAATATTTGCGGTGATTTCGAACAGACATGTTGTTTTTGCGTCGCCGATCAGTGTGACCAGCGGCTGTGCAGGAAAATATACCAAGGCAATCTCCGTAGCCCTGTAAAATATACCAAGTATCTTTAAAAGTGATTGTACACGGCGTTGCCACAATTCGTAGGGCTGCCACCTGGATTTGTAAGACCAACCAACCTTGCCACCTTGTTTTCTTATGCCGGCCGTTGCTTTTTAAATGTAAATAAACTTTTTTATAGTCTGTTGACTGATTAAAATTGGCTTGTGGTAATATATCAACCTTTATAACTTATTTTGAAACAAGTTTGTTTTCTGTTGTGTAATGCTACTAAATTGTTAAATAAAATTGTAATATTTATTTCATACATTAAAACTCCCTCCCATAAATAAATCAGTCCAGCAAAGTCGAAAGTTAAATGTCATCATATATTAAGCAGTAAAAATGCAGTTAATAGCCATTAAAAACACAAGCGCTGCTTATGTAAGCACATACATATGCACATAAAACACGTGGGGCGTCTCAGTGTGCGTAGGCAGCAACCTGTGGCCATTTCACCTTAAGTTAACCTTTCGGCAGGACATCGCGCATGCGCCTGCCAACAGCAGGCTATAATTAGAAGCACTTGCATCATCATCTCGACGGGAATCGGAATAAGAATTTTGGTGGCCCAAACGGTTCACGTAGTGGTGGGGTCATGGTGTTGTCACACCCTTTACTCGTTGAGTAAGAAGGACGCCACAGCAACCATAAAAGGATTGAAATAAAATTTATGTCTTTAGTTTTGAAATCTGCTAAATATTTGCCAAAACACAGCACTCTACCTTTTATATCATTTCTTATATATGTACATGTTTTTCATAGTAATAAAAACAATAAAAATGTTTGTATTTAAATTATCTACCTAGATAGATAATTTTTAAGAAAGATAAGAAGTACCCCCCAAGATAGGCTACACATTTTGCAGCAGGTATCTTAAAGTCTTAACCCTGGAGTATGACGTTCCCTTTTGTTTTTTTTTTTTATCGTATTTTTCTGCGTTTGGCAACACGTGCAGCACTCACACACACACACTCGCGTAGGAGGCTCGTCACCGGCCTGCGCATGTGTGTTGGTGTGTCGGTGTGGGCCGCAAAGAGAGCCGCTCTCTCTTTCTTCAATAAAACTGTTATACCAAAACCAGTTTACATGCGCCGCGTATAACAAATACTCTCTGCCCACGTCGCTGCCATTTCTGCTCTGCTCAAAAAGGACAAACTCAAGGGCAAACCTCAATGAAAAGAAAAAACAACAAAAACTAGAAGAAAAACAACAATTACGGCGTGTGTCTTGCAGCAATTTCATACGCCTGACTTTGATAAGTTCGCCCTGATTACCATACTCCGGCATACTTGGCTATACGTATTGGAATTGGACCCTATACTAGTACTAATTCTAGATTACACAATCAGTCCCGGTTTTTGTATCAACTTTTCCGTTGCCACTCCCACGCAATTTGTCGTTGGGAGAGGATTCGGCGAAGGCGTATGTATGTGTGTGTGTGTGTGCTTTTCTTTTTGACACACATTTGCCCTCCCATTTCTCTCTCCAATCCGCCCCTCTCTTTCTGACGCGTGGGCGTGTTTGAGCCTGCCCTTTGAGGTTATGTCCGCTGATTGCATATTTGAGCAACTTCCATTGATTAACCATCAACTAACGACAAAAACGAAAATCATACAATACTCAGTTGTTCGACTGTCTCTATATGTCTCTGGCCCTTTGTTAAGTGCCGTTATTGATATTGATTGGCATCGGCGACGCGTCCAAACTTTTCCACGCACGCAAACGGCTGCCTGTTTACCGTTATCGTTGGCAAACAAATACCCGTTTCGATAAGTTGTACCGTTATAGTAATCAAACAAATACCCGATACGATATAACCAAACATATGCTTAATTGGCTCTAGAAATTTGTAAGCTTTTTGTGCAGACAATAAATATTTTATATTAACAAAGTGATTACTTACCAGAATATAGTATAAAAACATTATCTGCATAAAGTAGATTTGATGCGAAGAAAGCTTATCAAATCTAATAGCGGCTAAAATTTCGTTTCATTAATGAAATTTGAACACCATCGTATGATTAAGTTTGATCATAAATACAATCCTACTATTGGCCTCAAGAATGTGATCAAAATAACACGGAATATAACCCACTGCACACCCACTAAGCCAATTTGATATCTCAAGGCTATTGGCTATTGAAATTATCTCGGCATTATCGATCCGCGATCGCATTCCGCATTGCACTCGTCGACCGTAAAATATAGCCGCATCCGGAGTCGGAGTCTGGAACGTAAGGCTTATCGGGTGGGGGGTGTCAAAGAACCAAGCCGATTGAATTCCTTCGATAGGAAAAGTTCTCGGCAAACGATTGATTTATGCAGCTGCGCCGATTTTTCTATACCCCCCAGACCAGTAATCCCCACCCTTTTTTTACCACAATATAAGTATATAAATATTGGGTTGATAAGCTTCACCGGGGAGGAATAGTCGTTGAAAGTACTTGACAAAAAGAATGTCAATATTCGTTGGGGCCATTAAATCGCAGAAGACCCCCTTCCTGGACTGTTGGGTTTATCAATCTCGGGCCCAAAATAGTAAATCCACTCAGTGACAGATTTTGTTAGATATAAAAGAAGCGATAGCTCTGGACAAATGGCAACAAAAAAAAAAAAGAGAAGGAATTAATTACTGCTCGACAGCAGAGGCGATTTTACTACATGGAGTACGCGTATAGCCCCATGTCCGGGTACGTTAAGTGCTTATCAGGTGTTCGGTTCTGGAGGGTATTATCGCCGGACTGGCTTTTGCACTTTTACTTTCATCTATCGGACTCGTTTGGGAATCACGTCGATTGGGGTGAATTGACTTTATCGGACAGTCTGATCTCTGAGAAAAACAAGCATTAATGGAGCAGTGTTTCGGGAAAGGTAGATAAATATATATGGTTTTGGTCACGAGTTGGCAAACACTTACGTATAATAAATATCGTGCAAACACTTTTTTGTTAGATACATTCTTATCAAAAATAATTAAAACATATGGCTTCCACGTACTCTTGCTAAATTTAAAACAAGATTATCTTGAGATACTGGGTCTTCAACTATTTGCTAGTCCTCTATACACATTATTTCATCAAGTATAAAACCTAATCTTATAATATATGAGTCAACTCATTTTTATAGTAAGATCCCAATATGGTTAAGCCTTTAGGCGCACTTGAAGCACATAGTAAATTTTCGGTTTTAATCAAAGGGACCGATTAACAAGCGCGCCAGCCAATAAAAATAAACTATAGAAGTCCATTCATTGGGGTCTAAACATATGAAAAAAAAAAATTGTTGAGCATAGCATTACTATTTGAATTCGCTTATCAGTCAAGTGGGGTTATGAACAGAACTAGCTTTAATGATCTTTCGTTGGGCAATCTTTTTAAAACTTTGTTGTGTACTAAAGATATTTTCAAATGCTGCTGATCGCTTTTGGCACTTAGCATTTTAAGCTGGAAACGACTGTTTAATCACTTTTCTGCGACTTATTTATAGTTTGAGAAAAGTTATTCTCAATTTCAGAAGTGCGACTTACCACTGTCATGTTATATTTTGCGTTGCTGAATAGAAACCCATAGTATGTGCCAACCTTCCCAACGATATCGACTAAGAGTATTCGCTTCTCCTCTTGGATCCATTTCCATTTGGGTGTTTATTTGATGTGTGGGCTTATCAGCTTGAGGTTCGGCAACAATTCTAATTACACTCCCAATGTGCTTGACATGGGGCCACCCAGTGGTTCACCCCCAATTCCCACTTCCATCTCATCCCGATTCTCAATTCGCACACATTCCATTGTCGAGTTTTCGTGGGTTTTATTCTATACGACCGATCATAAATATGTTTATTGTTTATAATCGTAAACAAATAACCCAAAAAAAGAGCAAATGGATTCTGCTTCCAAGTGTTAAAAAGCAAGGAGGGGGGATACATTCAACTGACTTATTGGATTGCCTTGCCACTTGACCTGCGCTTATCGGGGGGTATGGAATATTTCTTGATTCACTGTAGTTTACTCAAGAAAAACAATTGATTGTGTCTTTCATCAATTTGTAAACTCATCTAAAAAGCTGGTCTATAAACATTGATATTGATACATACCAGTTTTAAATTTAGAGATCATATTAGATCCCCAATAGCCAATTTAAGTCCCATCCCACAATATTTCATCCCCAGTCAATATAGTTCCAATGTATCTCGCGATCTACAACTTGATCTTATGCAATCTTAAACTGCGTTTTACACAGCAATTGAGAAGCGGAAGACAACGAGATCCAGTTCGAGATCGAATTGCATTTGTTTTGTTTGTTTTCGTTTACTAACATGCCTGTACATTTTCAGGTAATTATCGTAGTATATATGGCCCTGGCTGAATAGTTGCTAAATGACTGGGCCCGAGTGCAGTGTGTTTTGTTGGCAAATGAATGAATGAACCTATGTAGAGGGTGTGGGTGTAAAAGTGCGCCCTGCAATTCGGTTCAAAGTGCTGACATGGGTCACTGTCGTCTGGTTAGTCACCTGTAATCGAAATCATTACGAAAAGGCGTTATAATATAAACTAATTGGTATTACTCAGCGAAATCGTAGACTTAAAGATCAAAAGATCAACAAATAGGCATTAACAAGAGCTCCGATTACATTTATTTACAGAGGTTTGTTTATCCAGATAAGTCTCAATAATTTAATATTCGATCTGGTACCATTCCTAGAAATATATTATGTTATCAGGGAGTTATATATTTTCCTGCATATTAGCTTTATATTTACTTATTAATTGCAACCTCATTGCACTTGCTAGAATAATATTAAACCAGGTATCTATTAGCTTTAGCTTATCGAAAGTGCTTTACCTTATCTAAGATGAGATTCATAGAAATATAGATATCCGATTCGAGTAAGTTTTGAAACCGCAGCCCATTTCTTGGTTTGCATAAGCGTCTGGACATTG